AATAAATAATCAAGACTGACCAAATGCTATTTTTTGCAAATTATATTAAAAATAGAAAAAGTCTGTACTTGATACGAACATAAATTAATACTAAAATCTTCAGAGACATTTTTCCCCAGATATTATCTGAAGACAGTTCTTACCTAAGAGGAGGAACAGCTTCTTCTATGACCAACTTCATTCTGAACTGTGAGCGAGAGGAAAAAGACAAGCAGGACAGGGAAGTGATATTTGACCATGAAGGTAAGAAAAAGGGAACTGGGTTGCACAGTCAGTGTCATGTTGGTGTTTGCGGGTCTCTTGATTTCTCACGTGGGAAAACAACAGCTTTTTTCTGTGCAAACCAAAAATSGACAAAAACTGTATAGATTAGCGTGACAGACACACAATGTGGACACAAGTCACATTATCCAAAAACCAGTATGATGCAGAAGGATGACAGTAAATCACAACACTGATTTTGTTACACAAACTGTGTTTCATTCATGCATGGATAGTAGTCAAAAATTAGACCCACTTTTTCTGTGGCCTTTTTTATCTAATTTAATAGAAGCAGTGAGTCCATCTACTCATCATGTGGGCCTCCGCTGTAAATTACAGCCTCAAGTATTAGCCTCATTACATTAGTTTGATGTTTAAAACATAGAAAAGAGGAGATGTAGCATACCTAAAAGTGCTAAATAAAGGATTTTAGACCAGATAAGTGACTTTAAAAAGACTAATTGAATATTATTTAGTAAAAACACCAAGCATTAGGAACAGGCTTTATGTCTGACTGATGAACTAGCAGCTAGCCTAAGCACAGATCAAAGCAAATTGTTAAAACAGCTCAAATAAAAACAATACAATAAAAGCTCATGTTAACACTGTTCCAAAGAATACAACTTTATCATTATTTGCATCATGAACAGCAGCAGTGACTGAAACTGAAAGCAAATTAGTGGTTTAGTAATAGCGTTTGTTTGAATCACAGTGAATCATTGGATTCAAGGGAAGATTATATGAAATGGTTAAATCTGCTTTCAAAATGGGACCACGTTTTACTTCAATAGTCAAACTACACCTTCATCAATTTTTGCATTACACCATTAGTAGAGACATGACATGAAATTTCTCCTGTTTCAGTTTATGCCAGTATATGTCAACATTTCAATACAAAACTGATGTTCTTGTAATTCTTTATGAAACAGCATTTACAATYCACTTTGATCCTGGCTGYATTTGGACTAGCCGTTAGCTGTCGAACATAAATTATGTTTCTCAAAGTTATTCAAAAATCTATCAAAAGCAGGTACGATATTAATTATTCACAACTTTCACACGAAACACAACTTCAGAATAGCTGAAACTGTTCAGTCATGTGTTTAATGTCAGCTGCACAAAACACACTCTTTAATAAGTAAATTATATTTGTATAGCACTTTTCACAGACTTCACAAAGCTTCATCAGGAGCAAAACTGAAATAAACACAGAGCATAAAAGTATATAACAAAAGAAGTYAATAAACTAATAAAACAATGCATTTAACTAAAAGCTTGTCTGAACAACTGTGTCTAAACTGCTTCTTAAAGAAGTCAACACAGTCAACCTCACAGATACACAGGGGCAGGGCGTTCCAACAAGTAAGCTCTTTATTTCCATGTGTCCTAAAATTATATTAGTGACAACAAACTGTTAAGTATTTTTGAATGAAGATCAACCTTTTCGCTTGCTCGCTAAAAGATTATTTTTGTAGCCAGGATTATTTTTTTCAATGACAACAATAAAATGACTAAAATAACACAAGCTGAAGTGAGCTTTCACTTTAGCTCAACATACCTATATAACATAAAACAAAAAGTGGTTTCTGTTGATTTCAGATCAGTTTTATTTTGACTCATGAGCTGTGCTTTTCAAAATAAAACTAATCTGCTGAGTCATTCAGACGCCAGGATCTTATAAATAACTTTACACATACAAATGTAATCATTAACAAGACCTGTGTGTTATTTGGTCACGGCCAAGACACAGCCGTGTTTCTAACGAACAATCTCCAAAGTAAACCATTGTAGTGAACTGGTCAAATCTGAATTAGGAAGCAGCGTTCAAAACTGTTCGAATACAGTTTAAATAAAAGTCTTGTAATCTTTGAGAACAGAGCTTTAAACTAAGGTAATATTTTTATGAGAAAAGGTCCAATAGGAGGGTTTTACGTGACGTCACGATGCAGTGCCACTACAGCGCGAAGTTCGGACGGAGGTCAGGAAATGAAAAAGTGGTGGATCTGCTATCTGAAAAAAAAAGCCCATATCTTGTGTAGTTTACGAGTGCTCCAGTCATTCTAACTGAATTAATAATAAATAATTATACACTGATTAAACTATGTATTAAAGTAAATAAAATTATGGCTCTTTTTATTAATGTTTGTCATATTTGAAGCACGTTGCAGCAGGAGGATGCAAAATAGGGCTGATTCATGGGGGAAAAAACACCTCATTCCACCCTCTGGTGTCACCCCCACCCCGCCGAATAAACCTGTGTGTTATCGACAGCCTCAGCAAATCTTTAGGTTCTGTTGAAAACTCATTCATCTTCATCATACGAGTCATGTCTGACATATTTGTGTACAAATTGCTGTTACCTGTCTTGAAATAGGATCTAAATCCATGCAATATAAACTCTCTACAGTTGTTTCCTCCATAGATATTTTACTTTCTGCCCTCCAGTGGCGATCTCTCTGCCTTCAAAACCACGTGACTGAAACCCAGCTATTCCTCCTACATCCTCCACAAGCCCCGCCCCTTTTCTGGGGTGTGGCTCAGATCAACTCGTTTGACGATGTCTCTTTAAATCCAAACGAGGCGCATAAACCCCGCCCCCTTCCCAGTCCATTCTACTTTGATAGGGGGAACAATATAGCAGAGCAGAAATGTTTTATTTACAAATGAATTAAAAGATGTCAACAAAGAGAGACTTGTCCATCCAGTCTTACATGTTGGAGCCAGAGGAGAATGAAGACCACCTAACTGTAGTAGGTCCAGAGTAAAAGTCCAGACATTATTTGGCAGTTCAAATAATTTGATGTAGAAAATAGAGAAAACTGAATAAGTTGGA